TTGATACATATTTTTATTTCATTCAATTATTCATTTATTTGTTGCTGATATTATTATTTTTATTTTAGTGACCTCTCTACCACTAGATTCCAATTAATCTACTCGCATAAAGTAAACTATTTGACTAAACCACATAGAATACTACTTAAAAGTACCTAGCATAGTGAGATTTGTAGTCATGAATGTAAATGTTAGAAAATATGCCTAAATTGTGTATCATCAGATATTTAGTATTATATTATGCTTTGAAAATTTAGTATGAAAATTAGTTATGTGAATGAGTTAAGCATCATAGTAATAGAAGCTTTTTATTACTTAGTATGCGTTCTGTTGTTTTGAATTGAAGATTTGGAAAGAGAGGAAATTTAGTGGTTTGAATGCAGGCTGATAAAGGGTTTGTCATTAGCAATATAGTTGGCATAATGGGCGGGGAGCAAAGACCGACTTGCACCTCCGCGTAGTGCTCCCTGAAGTCATTTATCTCATACTGAGAGTACTCATTAACGATCATCAGTGATTTTGGTTGTTTCAACGAGCTTTCGAGCATGGTAAGAAGTACAATTATACTGGAGCTGGCTGGCACCAATTTCCGTCCGCTCCACCCGCAGTAGACTGTAGTGAGTTCATTTGCGTCATGCATTTATATAAATAGACTGTAATGAAAAAATTTGCCTGTATGCATAAAATCGACAGTAAGAATTCTGTCTGTTTCGAACAGTAGAGTTGTTTCTATGTCCCTATCTAAAAAATCGCTCTTTTCTATTCACAAATATAGCATTTTACTGTACATAAAGTCTCTTCCTTTTCACCTGGTAAAGCCAGATAGCTCCCTTCCGCGGAAGGCGAGGTTAATTAACTAACTAACCATCATAATAATGCATCAAACTCAATTTTTAATTTCGATTTGAAAGAAAACACATTGTAATTGTACTATTGGATGAAAAATTGATGTTATAGTAACTCCTAACTTCTTGAAAGATATTCTAGCTCCTAGGTGGTATTGTTGGCTTTAATATTGGATATATTTCACGTTAATGAAAAAAAAATTTGATTTTATTGTATGTTCCGTGAGTAAATCATGATGAAACTTCACTATGGAGTAGGCTCTAACTGCTAATAAGTAAGATTAAGCACTCGATTTTACTGTCACAAGCAACAATCCAATAAATTCAAATTTATGTAAACTGATTGTTTTATTTTTCATTGTGTTATTAATGTAACGACTACTATGTTAACTGGATTCATGTAGTTTACTTATTTAACCTTTTTACATTCTTGACATACAAATTGACCTTTTTATGATTATCTGTGTTGAACTCATAATGAAAAGCATGAATGATTGAAATGATAACAAACTAGACTAAATATGTATGACATCTTTGATTTCATGCAAAATGTCTACGTTAAGTCAAATTATCATTGCTAGTAGTATCACTATAATTATCAGAATTGTTAGTATAAGAGTAATTATTTGGGTGATAATGGCTTTCTAATTTTAAATAAATATTAATGGATAGTTTTTGATAGTTGCTAATTATAAATTGATTTTTTTTTAATTATAGGTTTATTGTCAGAACTGCATACAGATGAGTAAGTGTCTTTATATGAGGGTCATCCAGTCTCTAACATATTAGGTACCATGAAATTGATTATCATGACAAATTGACATCAATATGAAAATGACTAAAACTCCAGAGGCATTTTCAGTCGACAGTTATTCTACACTAAACTTGAAATTGTACATCTTCGAATCGCTTTTGAACTGAATATCGAACTGTGGATGTATGATACAAACACTAACTTCAGATATATATCCTAGTTGTAATATAGAACAGAGCGAACTATTGTTTCAAAATTTCTGGTAACAAATGAAATGGAGATAGGTTTTATTATGCTATTGAATCTTCGATAAGGACGAAGTAATTGTTCTATACTCTTTAATTATAGTTACACTTTTAATGCACTAATGGTATTCAATTCAATATGCACTTATGCTTGATTAGTTACAGAAAATGTTCCAGTTTTGTGAACATAAATCGAGTAATTTGATGTACATTCTTTATTAATATCTTTGACGATCATTATGGTTAATTAGATTTGTTGAAATATTTCAGTAGTCATTTTTGATTGATTTAACTATAATTCTTATTATAGCATACATTTGTCAAAAAATTCAGTAATGTAATGGTCAATACTTTTCAAAGGTTACTGGACCAGCATCACAAACTGTACATCAATTTTCTGAAGACAAGAAAATATCAAGACTCAATACTAACTTCTACCGTGCACATGTTTGATTTCCGAACAAGAAATATTCTCATTTTATTCTAAAGACTGACATGTAAGTGAATGCATAACGCTTATGATAAACCTTATCTTAAATTGCGCATTCCTAGTGATCTGTACGATAATGTTTGCTGCTGAATATAATGATTTAGAGTCTAAAAGACAGGAGCAGTAGGCAATAGGTAAGAAACTAAGTTGGAATAAAGAGTGTTAACTACTAGTCTAAGGATGAAAGTGAAAAAATTATATTTATTTTACTATTGAAGATAGGACTAAGTATATCGTATCTTCTTCAGGCTAAGTTTTTAGCTATAAACCCTACATGCTCCATTTATACTCAAACCCATACTCATGATATTAGATGCCTCTAATTGCTCAAGCGAATGATTGACTTGCATCAGCTAATATCTAAAACCGATGGCTTTGTTCTTTGTACTTAGAATAGACGAAGTTCTCTCTGTCATGAGATGAAAGCAATCTCTCGTGAAAATGAGCTTTATGTTAAAGAATTCATACCGGAAATTCACGCAAATTATGGATCGTAGGATAAGTCTAAACACCTAAGTTTCGCAGAACCTTTTATCATGGTGCTATCAGACGGGCAGACAGAAAAGCAAAAGTCAGGCAATTTCTGCATAAGAAAATCACCTTATCTGGCTCGCTAACTCGAATCGATTCAGACTTAGCATTTTCCTTTTCCCACCTTGTCTAATAGGCCAACCTGAAAGGCTTACTCGGTGACCTTGAGTGCATTGGGCAGATTCGAATCAGTTGCATTTTTAAGAGCATGGAATATTGCTACCAATAACAAAACACTCCAAAGTCACGTGTAAGCGTGTCCCGTCATGAGAGAGTCTAATTCAGGTCAAGGTCACTCAGAACCAATCATTTCGAAAATCTAACGCATGTCTGGGTTAAGCAATAATTCAGAACAAGGTTTAAGCATAAATGTGAAGACATTTTAAGATAGTTTGAAATTTTGATTGGTGGGTTTCATTTATTTCATTCATAAGTGTTATTACTCCATGGCTTTACTGGCTATCCAAGTCACATGATATGTTATCGATTTTGAGCCTAACAGTTATTATTTCTTTTTTCATGAGCTTACCCACTGCACAAATAGTAGTAGTAGACATTCAGTATGATGACTAATCATTATCCGACAACCGCTGTCTCATGAGTAAACTCGTCGTTAAGGCTTACTTTAGTTTCCACTTTGCTGCGGTCTCATATAATTTACATGAAACATGAAGATGCGCTAAAATGCTTGGGTTTTCTGTGATGTATTCAGTTACTTTTAAGTGGGATAGTTTATTTATGATCGGTGTGATCAGTTGGGGAAATTTGGATTTATGAGATCTTTGACTAGACTGAATGAAAGCTTAGGGTTCTTATTGTACCTATTTTAGAATAGGTCCAAAGTTCCTCTAAACTAAGTCAAAGGACTTCACACTATCCAATCTCTGTCATTGTATAATGGAAAATCATAAGTTTTATTGATAAGAACTCACTATTATAATTTGGTTATACGTGACCAGTAGGGATGTAAGAATATGGACGTATGTTTCTTCCAAATGTCATTTTTGAGGATTTGTTTTATACATTGAGCTTTTTCATCAAGAACCTACATTTTTCATTTCAAACATTGTTGAGTGATTGTATTTTTATGATTGAGAAATTTAACAACCTTTTTTCTGACAGATAAAAATGGTAGGAAATTTTATTCCCAACGAAGTCTCAGAAAATACGTACTGCTCATTACCTTTCTTTTTCGATTGACATTTCTTTGGATTCCGAATCTGATGAAATCAATTCTTTTATCTATTTCCTAAATTTTTGCCACTTCATACGCATGGTCTTCAATACCGCTTTAAATTAACGTAAAAAGGCATTAAATTCATGCGAATTTGTTTAGCTATGTCTGTCATAGAAATGCTTGAACGTTGTCTATAGTGAAATATGCCGTTTCTGAACACCTAATGCAACACACTATTTCACAAGAAAATTATATTTCTTTAATTAAATGAAAGCAACTAGCAAATTCCTCTAACTAGCGGATCGCATTACTTATTAATTCTGCTTTATAGGCTCACGATCTATCTGTGTCAATACGGAACACCAAAACTTCGATGATAATACCTTACTGTTCGACATTTTTTTCTCTTTGGTTGATTGAGTGAGACTGCATTGCATTAGCATGCTTGGAAAGTGGTAGAAATGGACTATAATACTTTATTGAGACATATCTTATGGTGAAGAATACTATCAAGATAGAAATAGCTGAAAATCCCTTAGAATTAATAAAGAATATTCATTATGATTGAGACGGTACACTCTTTTTCCGCTGATTTTTTGCATACATGAAGAAATATATATATATATCGCCAACGTATCTGTAGCAATGCCTAATAGTTTGTGCGTAGAATTTCTCACCGAAACCAAATATAAAGCATATAATACAGGGTGTGTTATTACTGTTTCACTGTCTGACATGTAATTACTGAAGTAAAAATAAAAAGTCAGTTTACTCGTATGCTTATAAAGACAAAAAGTATTTTAATTAACATTCCCAAGAAAAAATAGATTTGGGTTATATTTCGGTAGAAATGAAAACTGATGCAAAAAGATTAATCAAAATATATACTGGCATAAATTAATGGTTATCCTGAGAATTATACCGTTGTAGTTGTAATGAGGTTTCTAATACGTTATACCAGATGACAGAAACTTTTATCTTGACGGATGTAGTACAAACAGTTCTTGTTATTCGTTCAATAATTCCGAGAAGTCGATCATGATATAACAAAATAAGTAACCATTTATACTATATGTCATTCCAACCAACTGCTGCATCACAATTAACATTTCTTCCATAAGATAGATCAACTTCTCAGTGGTAATATGAACTTTATCAGGAAAGGGATCTGTTTTAAGCTAAACAAAATGTATGTAATCACTAATGAGATACTTTAAATCAATGAACATAATCATCTGATATATCTGGTCTAGTTTCCAATAATTCTTCAATTAGGTTCAATTCACTACACATCGTTTAACTAGTTCGTTGATACTCATCATAATACTGATGCATACAAGTATTATGCTGTTTAAAAATTTTGTTTGATTACTAATTTACTCAATTTCCCCAACTTTGCCATGTACGTGGACCGAATATATCATGATTGTATTCTCCATCATACCGTTCATTATGATAATTTTGTCGCTGTGACTGATTAACATGATGACATAATCCATTCAAGAAATTTGAATAATTACTTAACATTATTTGATTTCTTGATTTAAACTTTGGATAAATCATTAAATAATTTAAGCTTTTTACTTGTTTGTTAATATTAATATTATGATTCAGAAGATTTTGTTTGCCACAAAATGATGAAGGTTCAAAATAATATGAATGCGACTGTTTATCGGTTCCAGTGTCGCATGAATTTAAAAGATTGTGTTGTACGTGAGTAAATGTGTTTTGTTGGGAGGGTTTCGTATGTTTGGTTTGATCTTGTGATTCCGCTTTAATTTCTGTTGGTAAAGCTAGATCACGTAAATCAAGATACATGGATTCAGGTCGTCGTGCATTGTTAATTCGAATCGATGAAATGGATCGCGGTGTATTATTCTTTAATTCATTGATTATATTGTTTGAATGAGTGCAATCTGCATTATTTTCTATAAAAATAATAAATATTGTCAGAGAATAATGGATTAGGTCATTCAAAGAATAAGTAATAATCTACTCAGCTTGGATAAACCATGAATAAACAAACTCATAGGGTTAACTAAAATGGTTTATTTGATACATTTCACACATACTTTTGTGCTTTTTTCAATAACCTATTCAAGGTTATTATAATTACAAATAGATGGCATTATTAAATATTTTCCCAATTAGTGGTAATCAACTTGATCATCACGTGAGTAATAACTAGTTTTTCTTCAGCCAGAATGGCATAAGTAAACCATCAATGAATTGCTTTCAAAAGTATCAAATTATTGTCCCACCAGCGTTTTTTGTAGGTTACGTCATCTCGTTTTTGATGTCTCTATTTAATTTAAAAGACATCATAAATTTGACGTAATACATTATGATTGGTTGAAGTTAGAAATACGGGACATACGAATCTAATAATATTATGCTCATCATGATGGTAGAAGGTTTTGAGCTGAATCTCATGTTAATTTTGAGTCCTCACAACTTTAGTGTTCCAAACTAGAAGAATATGAATGTCTATGAGATGCAAGAGAGAATAAATAAGTCATTCAACACTTTGAATACACAACGCAGATGATGATCATCTTTTGAATGCAGAAGATCGTTGGAGTTTTGTTTACTGCTGAAGCCTGACTACACGGGATGAGTAATCATATCTATGGTATGCTTATAATTTTTAAAACTTCAGAAAACTCGAAATGATGATGATTATATGATTAACCGTAAACTTACTATTTCATTCTAAGCATTATAGCCTTAAATGTTGGTCGAAATCCAACTCTAAACAAACTTATGAACTGATAAACATAGTTCGAGGTAATCAAATTCGAAAATATGCTTCATCTCAACTATATGATAAAACATGCGTTATGGTATATTAGGAACACACTGTTTCTTTTACCTTTCCAAGGATGTAATTTTCCTTTGAATATCAGTCTTAGGAACAAGATTTTTCTCGCCGTTGTTCAACATGATGTTCTTTGCTTTTGTAGTGTTTCCTAGTGCAGTTCAATGTGCACCCATTTTTATCAGATGTTTAATCATTCAAAGTTCTTTTAAAAACGAAACTTATCTGATCGAACCGTATGTTATGGCTGAGTGAATAGAAATATTTAGAGTGGAAATATTGGTTAATCTATACAATTTTTTAAGGAATAATTCTATTAACTATATGATATTCTTGATGTTTTTCGTTTTCATAAAGGAAGCCTATGTAAGTTCTCTTTTTTGTTTCAGTAGAATTTTATTAGTCAGGTAACCATCAATAAAGATAACGAACAGGTTGATTGTAAGTAAGTGGTTTGTCAAAGATCGACAGTAAAACACTAGCATGGCATTAATATGTTAGTTCAATATACTTAATTTAAACTATTTGCATAGGTTTTACATTGGTACTCTGATAGGCTGTTACATTGGTATTTTAGTGAGTGGAAAGATAAAAGCAATTGATGTCTTAGTTTATTCAACAAAATTAACTTCATTCTTTTAACGAACATAAAGCTTGCTCTAAGTGTTGTGTTAGTCAGTTAATATATCCGTATTATGGCAGGTTAACCACCAAAACAAAACATTCTTAGTAGAGCTGGAACTCTATGTATTTGAACCTGACTACACATAATAGGAAGATAAAGCACGTAGATTCTAAATTTAAGATAATTTTGATTTTTGATCAGCTGTTTTTTAAGATATTCTTCCAGTCCCCTAAACCTTTATTTCTCTGTTATTTCTAGCATATCTTTTTACCAGTCATAAATCCTGTTTTATATGAAATATGAAGCTTTACTTTTTGATACAGTCATCTACATTCATCATTACAACTCCTCCACATGTGTAAAATCAAAAAAATTACTATACAACCATTAGTACTTTAGAAGTCAGAGGAAAGCTTAATGTTTTATAAATACCAATTTAGACTAATCAAACAAGGATTCATGATGCTAAGTAATCCATCCCTATAGTTAAGTAAAATTTTTGGCATTACAGCTGACATTAGTTCTCAATAACAATTCCCATCACTAATTCCTAACACTTACATCCAGACCTAGATCTTATTTATGATTCTTCACACTAATTTATAACCCTCTTTTAACCCTAGTAAGTAGGTAAATATTCTCAAGGTCACTTTGGCATCGCTCAAAGGTCGTCCGTAAATAATAGTCTCACCCAAAAGTCCATGTGAAACATGACTTAACTTAACTTCAGTTAAACTACTTTGTTAATTTGTTTAGCTCATAATATTCCGGCATAAAAATTGACCAAATGCAGTGTGGCACGCATTAATTCAATTCATTGTTTTATTATAATCCAATCACCCTACGTGAGATGTAATTATACAATGATAGTTGATTTCAAACTTTGGTTATTATTATTGCTATGATTATTACTGGTAGTTCGATATTCATGTGAAAGTTCAAACACGCTATTGTGTAGAAATGATCACTTCAGTTATTAGTATTCATTAAATTCCAGCACCAATCACTTTTTTTTTCGGACTGAATAATCTTCTATATAACTCAATAACTAATCAATGATGAATGACTAATAAAATTTTCTAATATGTAAAGGGTAGAAACTGTTCCGTATCATATATAGCAACATGTTTTCTATTATTTGTTGTAATCAAAAGCATTAGTTATCCGAATGCCGTGTCTTTGATGACCTTTGACAATCTATTTTTAATGTTAATAAGTACTTTTTATCATAGATCTGTGTACAGTTATCCAGTTTCACAACTGGATGTGATGATTTGTGAATTCTATGTACTAACGTTGATATAACTGCATACTAAACTTTTATTCAAATAAATTATAACGCTTTTTGATTTTTTGATTATATGTGGATTCTATGGGTCGAAAATAAAAGCAAAACAACCTTTTATACGTGAATCATATTTGTTATCATAATAAAGTATCTGAAATTTTTCGTAGTCCTGAAAGAATTACTAGAAGTAGTAACAATCCATATTATCTATCATTCATCAAAAACCTAATTCTTGATACAAATGTGTATCATTCAACATGAAACATTTCATATTCGAATAAGATGAACAAATAAATCAAATATAGAAACATAATAATAAGATCAATGAGTAGTATGGTAGATCAAACAGAAAAATATTCCTTTCAAAACAAACTGCATTAAGTAATGATAGGATTCAATGTTTGAAAACTTTGTACACTTCCATAGATCTATTCAAATAAGCAAGTAGATTGATAATTAAAACTGAGATGTTGAATTAAGAAATTATCTCTAGTCAGTTTAGAGTTGTATAGATTGCAAACTACAAAACAATCACATGTGAACATTTCATGTTAAAGTATTAATTCCAAATATATATTCTTAGAGTCTTGACGGAATATTATGTCATAATTTTTATTATTTTGGATACTATAATTCCTTGTTTCTTTGAGTTTGAATCAATTTATTACTGAATAAGGAGCTGGAAATGGTGGTAAATAGATTGCTCAGAGATTTTCATTAGTATTATTATTATTATTCCAAAAAGAACCACACAACATTTGTCTTTACTTGAGTTCATGATTTTCTGGATCTGTCACTAACCAGAACAAATCACTAACTTTCTAATCTCTTGACAGCAAATCAGTCTACTTTGAAAGACTGAAGAATTTTCAATACAAAATTCTCATCATCTTTATTTTTTTTTCTATTGCTTATTTACATACACGTTTCACAAAGTTCTAAATTACAGAAATTCAGCTGATCAATTGAAATGCTTACTTTTATACTTGTAATTCGTGTTATTTGATGAGTCAACTCGACATATTTCACATTCAGTAGAAATTACTGATTTACAATCATTAGGTTTTAACGAATTCTTACACAGATATGTGTTTTGTTTGTTACTGTAATTATCATCATTGCATTTTTGTGGAGAGGCCGTTGTGTTTGCTGTTGTTACCACTACGTTTCCTGATACTGAACATGTAATTGATGGTGATTCACTTGAATAGTCCATATTTCTTTTGTTTGCTGAATGACTATACTCCATATCATTGGTCGACTTTAGTTGATAAGTATTGCACAAATTATCGAGATTTCTTTTATTAAATATTTCCATATTTTCATTACGATTATTCTTAGAATTCTTATAATCTTGATTGTTAGTACAATAATCATCTGTGGATATAAAATATGGATGTTTAATTAAAACATTCCTTGAAAAATCATAAAGTTGTTGCTGTTGTTGTAGTAGTCTTTGAGGATATTGTTGATGTTTTATAAAAAGTTGATTCACTGATACTGGTATATTATTCATTATAGGATGCATATATGATCGGCCTAATATAATAGGTATTGGTGAATTCGGCAATGTACGATGTCTTAAACAACCGTGTAATAATGCACCAAAGCTTGCTATGCCTAGAATACAACCAGCTGTTAAACATGAACGATAATTTAAAAAAATACCCAGCAAAGAGAGTATTATCGAAAAAACTATTGAAATGCCTAGTGAAATCAATATTAGATTATGTACAACGCGTTGGAATTTTCTTGAATTACAACAACTGGTCAAATAATGTACAGAAATTTTATCATGATTACTATCATCATTGTTGTTACAGCACAAACAACAGAGTGGTTGTAAATTCTGAAATTCCGCTGAAACATATGAACTACTTGTAGAAGTAGTAGTAGTAGTAGTAATAGTAGTAGTAAGTGGTTTTTGATAATAACGATAACATGTTTTAGGGTTTAACGGGTTTTCATCAAAATATTTTGATGTTGGACACGATTTCATTGATTCGAAATAGTACTGATCAACATGGTCAAGTTGCATTGGTAAAGAAGACTTGCGCACATTTTCTTTGGAGTTATTATGAAAAGAAAATTTCCTGTTCTTTGTACGTTCATACAAATTTTTTGTGTTGTTTTGATGTAAGCTGTTCGTAAACATATTTTGACTGTCTATAAACCAAGGAGTTAGAAAAATATTAAAAGTTCATTTAAATTATTGTTCATGACAAAAATGAACATGATTAAATTGAAAGTTTACAGATATTGTCCCTACATAGTAGCTGCTGACAGTGCAACTGGAAATTTCGCGCGCTTAATTATCTTTACCAATTTGAATAGAGCCAGAAAAACAATTTAGACAGAATATCAACAATTCATTACATTTCGTAGTTTCTTGTTAGCTGCTTAGAACCGTATGTGCATTAAAGAGTAACATTGTGGTGTGAGCTACTTACAAGTAGTATATGACGTGAGTGTCAACGTAATGTCTGACAGCGGAAGATGGGGAGAGATCAAGATAGGAAGAGTTAGAAAACAATGGAATTTGTATGAAACGCATGAATAGTGACAATGGATTGATGTTCGGCAACAGGAACAGTCCAGTTCGATAGGATGGACTGATAATTTGCAAATAAACGATTCACGATATGGTTTTCCAATTTTACTGAGTAACTCTGTAATTTCCGCTAAATACAATTCGGTTGCCCCACCTCTGTTCTCATTCACTACAACATTGCTTTATTTAAAGCCGTTGTGCCTCTCAATCTCAAATTCTCGAAAAAGCGCTCGTAAATGTGAGAAATCTCTTTCGCTTCAGGTAACCATATTGGTCTTTAATAGACACAACAGAAACAATTATTTATTGATGTTACTATAAAATCGCAAATGGCCCCTAAATCCTGGACTAGGCATACTTCAACAAATAAATCTCCCCAAATTTACCCAAAATTTGTAGGTTTCAAAGTGTATAAAAATGGGTTCCGAGTTTAGAAGTAGGTTAATAACATGCAGTGTAATACCTACAACCCTTCTTCACAGTAGTGGGGATAGTGAACAAGGAAACTATAATTTTCATTTTACATGCACTATATGGAGTTTTTCTTGTTAGTTTTAAGTTGTTATATAAACATTCTCTATACCAAATCTTGAAGGTAGATTTGCAATCCGTATTAACGTATATAACTAAATAATCAGACATCAAATAAAAACATAAATTTATTAAAATATGAACTGATATTTTATGCAACTGGCTGCATAATTATTTGTCGGTATATCAAAGATATATTCTAAAGAATCTGATGTTTTTCTTTGATGGTATTTTTGATTTGTTTGTTTTTACTTTGCTAAAATTTCCGCAGTTGCTGTGTTAAACATACAGAGTAAATTTTATACTACTTACAAGTAGTTCGTTTTTCTTTGATAAAATGACGAAAATTGAGTATTACATTCGGTATTTTCTATGTGAAGATTATTTTCACCGTTTACCCTATCTGAAATCTCAAAACCCTCTGCACTAATACGAATTTATTCAAATTTCCAAGTTCAGTAAATTCACAATTTCACCTGACAATAATCCAAGTTCACTGGATGACTGCCTGACTTTGGATATGTTTGAAATCCATCAATGGGGAATATGTACCTGGGATTCATATGGAATTCAATAGCCTGATATCACGAATTAGCTGAAATTGGAAGTACGAACTATGTACCTTCATCGTCTTTGGATATGGGTCTTTATTTTTGGAGTTGTAGAGTGAAGACCGTGTCCATAGATGTATAGGATTAATATCTCCAAGATCTTTACAACCATCTTAACCGAATTTCGAAACGTGAAACAAAGGCTTGGTTTCTGATTTCTCTTTAGAGGACCAGTATGGTGTTAGATATATCTGTATTCAATAATCATGTCTTTGAAGTATGAAGGCTGAGTGAAAGCCCTACAAAGCAACTATGAAGAATCTATTCTAAAAATCTACTGGAATGATGAGTAACAGTTTATTTGTAAGAGTTCGAACTTTGTTTCATTATGCCCTGAAACAAGGTTACTGCTATTTGATAGATAAAAATAATCGACCTCAATTTACTGATCGATATTATTACAGTTCGAGATATAATAAGATCTATAGAGAGTCAGATCATTAAGAACGAAAATTGTATAACTACGAGAGACATTTAAATTATGGTCACAAAAGTATAAATGAATCACAGATTTAATAACTAGTCTATTGTGTGAATATCTGTTTAATTCTATGGTACATAAATCAGCTGAAGAAAACAGTCAAGTCTGAAAGTAGAAGTTCGTCATCTGTAATGTAGGTAATAAACTAGAATCGTTAGTTAATTAACGATGCAAATCAATGGTAAACATCTGATAAATAAAATAATAATTAACTGTCAGATAACCTTGATCTACGAAATTTATTAATCCTGAAGTGTAGACTCATATGTTTAGCTGCTCAGAGATTATGGTTAGAGCTAATATTCTCAGTTTAGAATTTCTATGTTGATCAGATAAGAGATATTTGATATTTGATCGTGCCTGATTTGGGTATACGTTATTTAAGTAATGTTCTGAACGTCAACTGATGAAGGACAAACGTAAAAGACATACAACAATTAAATAAGTCTACGTTGTATCATTCAACTTTTCTTATAAACTGCTTTTTCTATTTAGTATTTCTACATTTTGTAGTAATGTAATATTTGACAATGATAATATATAATAATGAAAAAAAATTTCTATCTAAAGAACACATGACTTCCTGTTAAGTAAAAAGAAGGAAGTTGAATAATATTAATCATACGAATAAAATACAATTTAAGTTCGAATTGGCCAAAAACACACCTGACTAGTTATCATCTTTGATTTCCAAACGAACTAAACAGGACCTTGTACAGAGAATATCTAACAACAAAATGATAAGGTAATTAAAAGTGGATTTTAAAATTTTAAATTTATGCAATCAGTTGTTGGAAAGGTGTACATTCGCAAGTGATAAATGATCTATTTGCTTACATTGAAGTTATTAGATTTCATCATAGTTAGCGTATAAAAGTAATAATCTGGGTGTTTCTTTCACATTTAAACGTATATTTGGTCAATAATTCGGATCATTTTTATTATCCAACCTTCCATGATCAAAACATTGAACTAGGAACACTGTCAATAAAGTTATCACTAAAGGGGGCTTGTGAAGCATATCTAATTCCCGTAGTTTAAGTCACGAAAGAGTGCTAACTGAATCCTTATTAAAAAGCAGTAAGCACTGGACATGCCTCTTCATAGTATAAGACCATTTGATATTTTGTATTCATAATTCATTGAGAATGGAACCCAAGATCTACAGATCTCATGAAGAGAACTTAGCTTTTAGACTACTGAGTTGATATCCATTAATGTACATGTCTGATTTCAATCACTTCGCAGAATGATGTTGATATTTTACATTGCTTGGGATTAATAGCTATGTCACACCCGAAATGGTTGAACTCCACCAGTAACGGCTTCTCATTAAGACTTCTGGAGTTATATGTGCACACGTATATAGAACGGTGCAAAATTGTTTTGCAGGTTAATAAAACATGTAAACCTATTTACTTGATTCGTTCTGTTTAAATTTAATTAAAAGCAATGATTTAAAGCTTAAGTAGAGCGCAACACAAATACACTGAAGACTACTATATATATTAAACAGTCATAGATATAGAGCTATTCTAATGGTCAGTAATTTTCTAAATGATATACCATTTTAGTCGCCTTTCTATTGTTCTCAAGCAAATAGGAAAAAAAGATAAATTTCCAGTTAGTGATTTGTAGAGTTTCTAATCCGATTTAGTTATTTAAAGGTTTATAGATATTAGGAAGAAGACAATAACTTTTTTAATGTATCTTTTATGTATGTGTATGTGTGGGTTATTTGTTTAACCAATTATTTTATAACTAGTTGCGTATAAAAAAAATATTAGAATAAGGATATATTTATTTTCAACTGAATTGATCTTAGGTTAAATTGATTTGCAAAAGGCGCCTAATTTCTATCATAAAGTAAGTAAACAATAACAACAAATAAAGACAAATTTTAAATGTTTAACAGATAGTTCAATTCATTTGTTGTTTTAAAATTGAATTATAATATGTAATCATGTTACATAGATATTATTATTAGGAAGATTTGAGTTGTTCTATTACTTTTGGCCGCCAGATTTGCATTCTCTACGAATTGCCTCGATATAGCTGTTTTTTTTTACACAAATATTTATTCAATGGATGGATTGTAACAGTGAAATCCTTAACGCTTGTTCCAATTTATTTTCGGTTCCTTGGTTGAATGTACCTGTATCCTGTATCACGCAAAGTAACAGGTACATTATTCAAGTTCAAGTGTGAACGTCAACACTTGAATGCATTTGAAGAGTACCAGACACAACGAAATGCTTCATTTGAGTTTCGCTACTAGTTAATGCTATATATATATATATATATATATATATATATATATATATATATATATATATATATATATATATATATATATATATATAAAACAGAAATCGTGACCATTATTTCTGAAAATTAATCGCTTTAAACAAATCAAAGCATATAATTTAACATCCTCAACAAACAAAAAGAAGAGAAAAAAATTACACGAAAAGAATAGAATTTTTTTTAAACGATAACATTATACTACTATTTAAAAAAGCAGCAATAGTTTCTTTCTTTTCGAAATAATTTTGTTTGTTCATGAACAAATCAGTAAAGTAAATATTAATTTAATTACATAAGAATTATTTTATGAGTAAAATAGATATACAGTTGAGTATTCTTTAATTTAAAAAGTAAATGTTTACCGTTGATACATTTTTCTATAAAGCAGATTTTAAAAAAGACTTATATTTTACAGTGTACTGTTTGTTATTCAGTTTACAGAAGATAATTTAACATTAACAGTAGTTATAAACATTTTAAAATAGGAAACTATCACTAATTTTCTCTTTGTTTTCAAATAAATGATCATTTGTATTATGAATGAAAATAATATACATGAGATGAAATGTTATCCTAATCACTAGTAGACTGATGTGATTTCAAATGTTTCGATGAGAAATTATTCATCCATATGAGAAAAAAAACAAAACAATTGAAAATCTAAACTAATTAGA